AAAATGTATATATGTGTGAGTAAGAATTGAATTCAACAATTGGAGGAGATTGACAGGTTTAAATTAAACCTGGTGGAATTATTGAATACAATTCTGTAAGTATTTGTCAGGATCAGAGCTGTAGAAATATGTATAGCTAGAATTTATACAGCTGAGTTAATTGTGACAGCTGAGGAAGAAATCTCAGGATTGGATAATCCTGAGATAAAGCTAGCAGACCTAGCACACACACTCTGTGGGTTGGTTGGTGCTGTGTTGGAGAGATCCTGGAAGAAGCTGTGTCTTCGTGCTATATTGGAAGAACAACTTTGGCTTCAGGACTGCTCATATGGTAAATGACTACTGAACTATGTACTCAGATGGGAGATTGTCAGGGATTTCCAAGGATCCCCATGTAGGGCCATAAAAGAATCATGTCTAAAACCTTGGGAAACCACTGACAGCCAGAGTTGACACTACAGAGTCTGACCCAGAAGAAGGCGGGTTCCTGTCTTGCTCCGTTCCTTAGACAACCAAGGCTGCGAAAGGAACAGAGTTTGGCAGTGGATGGTACTTACTTGCGCTGCCAGCACAGTGCAGATTGCTGAAGACCACATCCTTCTCAATTCCTTCAGGCTGCAGGGAAGGAAAAAAACACTCAGAAAGGCAAGAGTGATGATGGGAATTTCTGAGGGGTATGAGACTGAAATAACACCTGCACTGAGAAGGAGTCGTGGGAAGTAAGACCAGGATTCTCTTTTTTGGGTGGCTACTCCAATTTCGAGAATTCTTCAAGAATTCCCCAGGCAGAATCCAGGGATTCGCATCACCTACCAGTGCCCAGGAGATCTACCTTTCGCTCGCCTGGGGAAAGGCCTCGCTTCCAGGCTGCACGGCCTAGCTCTGGCCTCACTTCCTGCTCTTAAAGAAGAAGAAGAAAGGAAGCTGCTGTGGTGCTTCCTGGGAAAAGGAGTCTTGCCACCTTTTTATGCTCTAGAGAAGGCATCTCCCAAAGAACTGCACCTCACGGGAAAGCAATGGGGAAAAACAGCACACATTTAAAAAAAGGAAGTACAAATGCCCCCTATGGATTAGTCCAGACTTGAAATGAAAAGGGAGTGGAAGAATGCAGAAGCAGAGTCCAGGCAAAATGTAACTGTTTGAGCAACAGCTCTCAGAGTGCCCCAGCCACCCTGGCCAAGGACTACAGTGGTGCCTCGCATTACGATGTTAATTCGTTCCAGCGAAATCGCTGTAGAATGAAAACATCGTAAAGCGATTTTAAAAAGCCCATAGAAACGCATTGAAACCCCTTCAATGCGTTCCTATGGGCTTAAAATTCACAGTCCAGCGAAGATTCTCCATAGTGCAGCCAAATTCGCTGCCCGTGCAGCGAGGAATCCATCCCAGAAAACAGCGGGCGGGGAATTTTTTTTACCCGGCGGCCATTTTGAAACCGCCGATCAGCTGTGCTGATAATCAGTTAGCGAAACAAGGAACCGATCATCACAACGTGAAAAACCCCATAGGAAACATCGTTTTGCGATTGCTTTTACAATCGCAAAAACTTCATCGTGATGCGATTTCGTCGTTATATGAAGCACTCATCTTGCGAGGCACCACTGTATATGGGCGATTTCTGGTTCAGGAAAATCGAACTCCCAGCCTCTGTCTCCACAGCCAGGTACCTACCTAAACCCCTGAGCTTCCCCTGTATTTACCTCCACTAAAAGTGGTTTGATCACTGTGTCCTTTCGGCCTCTGGTGGGAGTCTCCACAAGCTCGTTCCCGCAGCGCTCTTGCGACGCGATGGCCTCTGCGCTCGCCGTGAAGTTCACGTGACCTACAACGACCAAAAATAGGGTGTGTCCCGGGCCGGTCACGGGAGGTTGATTTGGGAAACGCAGAGGCTCACGGCTGTGTTTGCAGCCCCACGGCGGCTCTTCTCTCCGCTGTGACTTTCCCCCCAGTAAGGGGGGAAAAAAAAACACTGAGAAAAAAGATGTGTTTCTACAACAGCCGTTTCTTAAACCAAACAGGTCGGGAGAGGGGAACGCTGCTCTGTGGCCCCAATCCTTCCGTCAATGATCAGGTCAGTCATTTAATTGGCTGGATAAAGTTACTGACCAATAAGAAAGGGAGGAAGGCCAGGTTGGGGGGGGTGAGTCAGAGCTCCAACCCACGGATTCCTGAATGGCACGTCCGCACCGGGATTCTCACGGAGTCTCATCCCACGGAGAGGATTCCCTGGACGGAGGCCTAAATATTTCGCCATTTTGGGCCGAGACAACAAAAATCAGGACTGTTTTTAACACTTCAGTTCACTGATGTTTAAAAGGGTTGCTGCTAATTGGACTTATATCCCACCCACCTAATGGCGGACGGCTACTCTGGGTGGCTTACGAAGGCATGGTGGATCCAGGTGGCGGCTGGGGATGATGCCGGGGCATGCCGAGAAGCTGATGGGTGTCAGGATGAGTTACGTGTGTGCTAATCAACTGTTTATGCTTCGTAGTTACATTTTTTTTGGTGCATAAGAGTTAAACATGGGTTTTGAATTACACAGGGGTCTGGCACCCCTAACCCCAGAAATGCTGACGGGAGCAGCGTATTTTAATGGGAGTTTTCGTGGACGAGCCTCCTTCCTCAAACACGCTGGCCTTGGGCAAGTTGCACAGTCCCAGGGCGCCCTCTAGAGGAAGGGAGGGGCGAACCATTTCTGAGTACTGTATGCTCTCGTTCAGGGATCCCCAACCTTTTTCATCCCTGGGGAAGGCGGGGCACCCCCCACGCTCATGGGCATGTGCAAACGAGTGTGTGTTCTCTCGTGCGTGAATGAGCCCATGTACGCATGCACAAACAGCAGCGCTTCTGCGGGCGTGCACATGCGCAAATGGTGGTGCAGTGTTCGCACCACCGCACTGGAGCATACATGCATGTGCAAATCAGATGTGCAGGGCTGAGTGCATGCAAGGGGGTGGGAGGTCTGTCTCCCCAACCCTGTCCAGCTCAGGCCACAGACCACCACTGGGCCATAGACCGGGGGTTGGGGACCTCTGCTCTAGTTGGAAAACCCCAAAAAAGGGTCACCATAAGTCAGAATGGACTTGATGGCCGATGTGATGGACGAATAAAGGTACAGTATCACCTGCTCCTGCAGATGTATTATTCCACAGCCTTGAAAGTTGCTAATTAGCTAGCATTTATGGGTCGTTGGGAGGAAGCGGGAGGCTCCGCTGGCATGTTGACCACACAAACACAACAGCTGTGAAGAATGTTGAGGGCAGGGAAGCGCCTGCACCGGGTGCGCTGATTTCCCAGCCTTATGTCTCCCAGATGTTCTTGGACTTCAGCTCCCAGAAATCCTGGCCAGCACAGCGAGTGG